AATTAAAAAAAAAAAAAAAAAAAAAAAACGAATTATCTTTAAATTGGTGCACATCGTTCCTTTGTACATTTCAAATGCAGATTCTGTGGGAATTATTTTAGTCAATGTGTGTGTGTGTGTGTATATGAATTGTGCTTTGTGTTAGATTATAAGTAAAATTGTTAATGACAATGATATGTAGCATTATTCAAGTGTAGTATTTTTAAAAACACAATGCTAGAAATGATTGAGCAAAGAGACTGATGTATTATAATTTAATTTTCAGGTAAAAACAGAGCTGTTGCCTGTTGCCAACGCTTGTCTGAGCTGAACAATTATGTCCCAACATGCCACCATTCTGGGCCTTTAACTGAATCCTATATCAAGAAGTTCAAGGTTGTTGTTTTGACTGAAGCTTCATTAAAGGAACAATTGCGTGTTTCTGAGATTACTCATGCGAATGAAATAGCACTTATCATAGCAGATACCAGAGGCCTATTTTCTCAAGTCTTTTGTGACTTTGGAAATAAGTTCAAAGTAGTTGATACCAATGGTGAACCACCTGTAAGTGCAATGGTTGCTAGTATTTCCCAAGATACCGAAGGTGTTGTTACATGTTTGGATGATACACGCCATGGAATGGAGGATGGTGATTATGTCACCTTTTCTGAAGTGCAGGGAATGTCAGAACTAAATGGTTGTGATCCAATCAAAATAAAAGTTCTTGGCCCTTATACTTTTAGCATTGGGGAAACATCCAGATACTCTGAATATATTCGTGGTGGTATAGTAACACAAGTAAAAATGCCAAAGATCCTACAGTTTGCTTCTTTAAAAGATGCCCTCAAGAAACCAGACTTCCAGGTTACTGATTTTGGAAAGTTTGATTATCCAGAACAGATACACTTGGCTTTCATGGTATTGCACCGTTACATAGAAGCAAATGGAAAATTACCGAGGCCATGGAATCAGGAAGATGCAAAAGAATTCTTAGAGTTAGCTAAGATTGTGAAAGAGGAAACAGGCAGGGAAACTGAAATCAATACAGACTTGTTTGAAATATTTGCAAAGATATGTTGTGGAAATTTAAGTCCAATGAATGCTACTATTGGTGGAATTGTAGCTCAAGAAGTGATGAAGGCTTGTTCTGGAAAGTTCCATCCCATATTCCAGTGGCTGTACTTTGATGCTATTGAATGCTTACCTGCAGACCGCTCTGAACTTTCAGAAGAAGATTGTAGCCCCATTGGTTCACGTTACGACTCACAGATAGCCGTTTTCGGACGTAAATTTCAATCGAAGATTGGAAGTCTGAAGTACTTTGTTGTAGGAGCAGGAGCCATTGGTTGTGAATTACTCAAAAACTTTGCAATGTTAGGTGTTGGTGCTGAGAATGGTAGTGTAACAGTCACTGATATGGATTTGATAGAAAAATCTAACTTGAATAGACAATTTCTGTTCAGACCATCGGATGTTCAACAGTCGAAATCATCGACGGCAGCTAGAGTCATAAGGAGCATGAATCCAGACATGAAAGTGATAGCTCACGAAAACAGAGTATGCCCAGAAACAGAGAAAATATATAACGACGATTTCTTCGAGGTCTTAGACGGTGTTGCAAATGCATTAGATAATGTTAACGCTCGTATTTATATGGATCGTCGTTGTGTATATTACAGAAAGCCTCTCTTGGAATCTGGTACTCTGGGTACAAAGGGCAATACTCAGATTGTTGTTCCATTCTTAACAGAATCATACAGCTCTTCCCAGGATCCACCAGAGAAGAGTATACCAATTTGCACGCTAAAAAATTTCCCGAATGCTATAGAACACACTTTACAATGGGCCAGGGACAATTTCGAAGGTCTGTTTCGTCAGGCTGCTGAGAACGCCGCTCAATATATATCAGATCCACAATTCGTGGATAGAACCTTAAAACTGCCTGGTGTTCAGCCACTAGAAGTATTAGAATCTGTGAAAACAGCTTTGGTTGATGAAAGACCAAAAACGTTCGCCGACTGTGTCACATGGGCCCGTTGTCATTGGCAGGAGCAGTACAATAATCAAATAAGACAACTTTTGTTCAATTTCCCTCCCTTTCAAGTTACATCGAGTGGTCAGCCATTTTGGTCAGGACCAAAGAGGTGCCCTGAGCCACTAACATTTAACGTCAATGATCCGTTGCATTTAGACTACATCGTGGCTGCAGCTAACTTGAAGGCAAAGGTCTACGGCATCACTATTAACAGAAATCGAGAGGAAATCGCCAGGATTGTCAGCACCGTGCCAGTGCCTGAATTCACGCCGAAATCTGGAGTGAAAATAGCCGAGACAGACTCACAGGTGCAAGTGTCGAATGGTAGCGGGAACATTGATCACGAAAGACTCAGTCAGTTGCAAGAAGAATTGCCAAGAGTTGAAGATCTCAATGGTCTTGTAATTTATCCACAAGAATTCGAGAAGGACGACGACACTAATTTCCATATAGACTTCATTGTGGCAGCCTCGAATCTTCGTGCTACTAATTACAAAATTCCACCAGCTGACAGACACAAGAGCAAACTGATCGCCGGTAAAATAATACCAGCTATTGCCACTACCACATCTGTGGTAGCTGGTCTTGCTTGTCTGGAATTGATCAAGTTAACTCGTGGCGTGAAAGATTTGTCAGTCTACAAGAATGGTTTCGTCAATCTTGCACTACCATTCTTTGGATTCTCGGAACCTATCGCTGCGCCGAAATTGAAGTACTACGACAGCGAGTGGACACTCTGGGACCGGTTTGAGGTTAAGGGAGAGCTGACACTGAAAGAGTTCTTGGATTACTTCAAAGAGCATCACAATTTGGAAGTGACCATGTTGTCTCAAGGTGTTTGTATGCTTTACTCGTTCTTCATGGCGAAGCCTAAATGCCAAGAGCGTATGGGCCTGTTGATGTCGGAGGTAGTCAAGAAGGTGTCGAAGAAGAAACTGGAAAGTCATGTACGTGCGTTGGTGTTCGAACTTTGCTGTAACGACACCGACGGAAATGACGTGGAAGTCCCGTACGTTCGCTACACTTTGCCGTGAAACACGTTGATGCCACCGGGATACGAGAGATGTCTACTTAACTGACTTAGCCGTAGTAATTTCCACAAATTTCTATTTTACAATACGATACAGGAGAAAAATATTAATCTTTGTCTAAGTAAGGCTCTCAAAGTAAACAAAAAAAACAAAAAAAAATACGATTCATTTTTATCGCCGATGCTTTGTAGCATTTATAATAGCCAAGCGATCGCGGGATCCACTGAGTTCGTCTTACTATGATCTCCCTTCTTGTTAAAACATCAACTTTGGGGCTCACAACTGTTTGTTATTTTTGTTTTTTTTTTTTTTGCCTTTTCATTATCGCCTCCTGTGATCTTCTGTCTCGATTGATTTCATAATAAATTCGTTACGCATATTTCTTTTGCCTTTCACGATATTTTCCGAAGAAAAAATTAAAAAAAAAGAAAAGAAAGAACTAGCTCTATAATAATTCGAACTGTTGATAAAAGAAAAAGATATATAAGCGGATGAAAATTTGTACAAGAGAATCTACAGTCTTGTGCTGTTTATAAAATGACTATTAAAAAAAAAAAGAGAAAAACGAAGATACGATAAAAAAATTGCAAAAGAGTTTAGTCCATATTGGATCATAAAGGGAATTGTCATGGTAAGAATTTTCTTAGGACTCACACTTCACGACTTTATGTATAGAATCGAAATGTAAATTACTCAATGATAACTCAATGATCCTTAGACGAATAACGCTAGCACATTTAATATAGACCATAGATAAACGTGAAAATAAAAAACTGAACGCAAATGTATCTTGCCTTTGTCGCATTATTTTTTTTTTTCATTTTCTATTTACAGATACAATTTTTTTTTACATTTAGGGGCACGCGAACTAAATAAGTAAAAAATAAAAAACGTCACGAATTTCTCGCCCTTACCTTCCCGTTTTTTGTATCAGTATGCTCTTGCTATCGGACTGGATATTTTAAGATTTTATATAATCTATACGTTATCGATGATTTTGATTTGTCCGCTTTACTTTTCGAACACAGAATACACTGTTGGCTAAGGCTGTTTGTTGTTATAAGGGATACTGCATTTAAATTTGTAAGAACAAATCTTTGGGAAGAAGCTTCAAAAAGAATTGCACACTTTAGACCAAGGAATACAAGAAGAAAAAAAAAGGAAGATATTTTGTTAATTTTAGGATAATGCGGATATTTATTGTATTATTTTATCAATAGATAATAAATAGATGTGTTTGGATTTCAAGGAACATGAGAAATATAGTAACGAAAATAAAATTTGGAAATGCGTTCTTTTTCTAATCCTGTATTTTCTCCTTCGTTTCTAATAACTATTTTTTTTTCTTATAATAAATCGATCCTTAAAGAAAGGGGGGGGGGGAACAATACCTACGGTTGTCTAATACAATTTAACTTGTAATGAATTAAGCTTTTTTGTTAATACGTAATTGGTAAACTGTGAGAGATAGTTAGAAATTTTCATTTTTTTTAACTTGTTCGTAATACATTGCCAAATGATGGGATAGAATTATCATTTTTTACTTTTATTTTGTTTATATTATTATTTTTTATAAAATTGAAACGTTAAGATGAAGTATCTCACTTATGATGAAACTGAAGTACGTTACAATTTTAAATTTCGGTCCACTGATTAAACTAACGGTCCTTCTGATCTTGGTCTACACAGTACATAGAGTGGAAGGGAATGTACAAAATAAAATATGGTGTATAGATGTCACATGAAGGTTTCAATAAACATTCTGAATAAAAAATGTCGTTTATAGTACGGGCCAAGATATGTCAAGTTTAGAAAATTGATCAGGGTACAAAGTAAATATATTTCGAGTGTACAGAAATATAAACACTTACGGCCTAATAATTCGGCCAGGACCGTACAAAGAACTATTTGGTACTACGTATATAGTTCATGGATATAAAAAAATATACGATGTCTCAACGTAGTATAACGTAAGTAAAGCAATTGAAGAAATTAAATAAGAATTAAATAAAAATATTAATTCTTCACCACATTTATGATATTCGTTTACCCTTTATTTGGCCCAGGTCATTTTTCACAAAAGTGAACTCGATAGATAAAACTGAATCAAACAATGTAAGGTACGTCGTAGTCTCACTTTTTAAATACTTTGCTATATTATAATTATGTTGCTTCGTTATGGTTTGTGGAAGATTAAGATTTATAATAATCCTCCACGTTCTCTAGTCCATGATTATTATCCTACTGTAAATTATTTTCTTAATTGGATACATAGTAATAGCAAAACTGGTAAAGAAGATGAGGACAGTTCAGAAAATTTCAAACGGAAAAGGCAAGAAAGTGGTGACAGTAGTGAAACTAGGTAATTAAAAATGAATTGTAATACTGGCAATAGTTCAATGCACTAGATAATGAATTGTAATCATGATAATAGTTCTATGCACTAGATAATGAAGTACTATGTTCCGATATTTTATTATTTCTTTTATGAGGTATTGTCATTTTATCATATTTTTACCTGATTATTTGTAATGTTTTTAATTTTACATGTTATCTACTGGATCATTGATATTATTAATCACTTGCTGAGCTTGTTTTATACTTTTAAATAAATGTATATAACTTTTATTTATTCATTGTAACTTCTGTTATAGTTCTTCTAGTACAAAGATAGACAATTCTCTAAAACAGAAGCCAACATTAATATCTCCTTCCCCATTGAAAAAAGCAAATGGTAAAATAGATATGTATGTAACTAAATAGAGTAACTTACATATAAAAGCTTTTTTGATGCTATACTTGTATTTAAGGAACCTCAAAAAAAGTGTCACCTGCAACAACAATGGGCAATGAAAAGAAAAAATCTAAAACTTCATCTGTGACTAAGAAAAAGAAAAAAACTAACGATGTAGAAGAAACAAAAAGGGAAGTAAATGTAAACTTAAAGATTCAAGAACAAAAAGAAAATATATCAACTTCAAAACATAAACAGTCAAGTGTTGAATCTGAATCTAAATCTGAATCTGATAAATCTGCTAGTGAAACTAAGGCAAAAAAAACTCAAAAAAAAGCTAAGAAAAGGAAAAGAATAATAGCACTTAGTGATTCCAGTGATGAAGAAGAACGTATTCCAGTATGTATAATAATTATATGCACATTGTACTACATTTTTAAAAAGAATATTGTTTACATATATATATCAATTACTAGTTGCCAGAGAGTCCAAAAAAATTAAACATCAGTGAAAAAGAAAAAGAAGAAGAAGAAGAAAGTCCTTTTAAAGGAAAAGAAAAATCTGATGAGGAAGTTTCTGAAAGTATAACAGATACTGCAAAAGAGGATAAAAAAGAACAAATCAATGTAGAAAAGCCTGCTAAGAAAATACATAGTTTTTTCGGTAATATATCTTTCGAAATATTAATGAATAAATAAGGTGTTTAATGCAATCTATATGTTTTAGCTTCAAAACAGAAAGAAAACACGGTCAATAATAGCGAAGATAAGAAAAAATCGGCTAGTCATTCCTATAATCCTAGTAAGTCGAAATATGATCCTATAGAGGATGCATTTTGGAAAAAGGGTGAAAAGTATGTCTTTTATTCTTTTCTAGTATCGGATTACCTATTGTAGCCATGTATTACAAAAATTGAAAGATTTGTTGCAGGGTACCGTACATTGCGCTTACACGTACACTGGAATTAATCGAAGAGACAAGTGCTCGATTGAAGATGATAGAAATTTTATCGAATTATTTTCGTTCTGTTATACTTCTAAATTCTGATGATTTACTTCCTAGTATATATTTATGTCTTAATCAACTAGCACCTGCTTACGAAGGTACGTGCTAGTAAATCTCTTTTTCTTTTCTTTTTTTTTTTTTTTGCTAAAGTATTATGCAATTCTATTAAAGGAATTGAATTGGGTGTGGCGGAAACAAACCTTATGAAAGCTATAGCTCAATGTACTGGTAGAAGTTTAGCTCAAATAAAAGCAGATGTTCAAGAAGTTGGCGATTTAGGTATTGTGGCAGAAGGAAGTCGTTCCAATCAAAGGACGATGTTTCAACCTGCTCCGCTAACAGTAACAAGCGTGTACTCTAGACTGAAGGAAATCGCTCAAATGACTGGTTCTGCGGTATGATGTACACCAGTGTTGTCCACGCTACATTATTTCAAAGCTTCCCCTTCTACTCCATCATTGTTGTTACCGTGCAAGTTGTGTTTTGTACGCTTGCTTAGTATATTGCGCGCAAAAATTGAAATATTGTTTCTAGTTTTAAAAATGGGACATATAGAAAAAAAATTTAGATTTATTTATATCTTTTTAAACATCTATGTTTGTAGTGACGATATGTAAAGAAAGATAAAGCTAGATGACTTAGCCGGCGATAACACTGTTTGATGTAATTAATTAATTCGTAATTTTATCATATTCACATCATATCGCTGAATAATGATATTATTTCACGATGAATTCTTCATTGTAAACGAGTAATATCTTTTTACAGTCTTTGTCCAAAAAATTAGATAAAATCCAGTCACTTTTTGTAGCCTGTCGATTTACGGAAGCCAGATATCTCATACGATCTTTAGGTGGTAAACTTCGAATTGGTCTAGCGGAACAATCTGTATTGCAAGTAAGCATTTGTATACTATATTGCGATAATTGCATACAATTAAAGGTAAATATTTACAGGCTCTGGCGTTAGCATGCACTATGACTCCACCAGAACAGAGCTCTCCAAGAATTCTCGATGCGAGTAAAAAAATTTCAAGCGATACCTTTAAAGAAAAATACGACGAGAATGCTCTTAATATAAAAACAACATACTGGTTAGAGTTTGTTTATACTTTGGATAACTGAATTGATTTTCAATATGTATTATGTAGAACGTTTATTTCCAGTGAGTGTCCAAATTATGATAAAATAATTCCTGTTTTACTAAAGGATGGAGTTAAAGAGTTACCGAATAAATGTAAAATTACACCTGGAATACCTATGAAACCCATGTTGGCACATCCTACTAAAGGTATCCAAGAAGTATTAACACGTTTTGAAGGGTTAGAGTTTACATGCGAGTGGAAATATGATGGAGAAAGAGCACAGGTTTATTTTTTTTCGCAATTCAAAATATTACCATAGTATTTTGTGAGATATTGATTATCTTAAATATTTCGTAGATCCATCTTGCCGAGGATGGTAAAATTAGTATTTACAGTAGGAATCAAGAAAATAATACTAGCAAATATCCCGATATTATAGGACGATTTAAAAGTACACAAGGGGAAGAAGTTAAAAGTTGTATTCTTGACTGCGAAGCAGTTGCTTGGGATACCGAAAAGAAGCAAATTCTTCCTTTCCAAATACTTAGTACGAGGAAACGCAAGGTAATTGATTGCAAAGTGTGTACATGTATATGGTAAAAATTCCACATATACTTTCTCTTACAGGATGCAAATGAGGCAGATATTAAAGTCCAAGTGTGTGTATTTATGTTTGATTTGTTATATTTAAATGGAGAATCATTAGTACAAAAACCTTTCGAAAAACGTCGTGAATTACTAAAAGAGAATTTCAAAGAAGTAAATGGAGAATGGAAATACGCAACAAGTTTAGATACATCGACTATGGAACAAGTGCAAGTCTTCTTAGACGAATCAATTAAAGGTTGGTTTAATTTTTGTCCATTTAAAATAAATCACTTTAAAAAAATCTATGGTAATATTTGATAGGTAACTGTGAGGGTCTTATGGTGAAGACTTTAAAAGAAGAAGCAACGTACGAGATTGCTAAGCGTTCACGAAATTGGCTGAAATTGAAAAAAGATTATTTAGATGGTGTGGGTGACACGTTAGACGTAGTTGTCATTGGTGGATATATAGGAAAAGGGAAAAGGACAGGAACTTACGGCGGATTTCTTTTGGCTTGTTACGATCAAGAGAATGAGGAATATCAAAGTATTTGTAAGGTGAATATCATTAATTTTGTAACGATTTTTTTACAGTAAGATGATTACAACGATAATGCGTTATAATATTTTATTTGTTTAGATCGGTACCGGGTTTAGCGACGAAGATCTTCAGAAGCACACCGAATTCTTTAAAGAGCATTTAATATCGCAAACCAAATCGTACTATCGTTACGATTCATCTCTCGAACCTGATCACTGGTTTGAACCCATTCAAGTATGGGAAATTAAATGCGCAGATTTATCGTTGTCACCTATTCATAAAGCAGCTGTAGGTATTATTGATCCAGAAAAGGGCATATCTTTGCGATTTCCCCGGTTTGTTCGTATACGTGACGATAAAAACAGCGAGGATGCTACAAACGCGCAACAAGTTGCAACAATGTACAACAGTCAAGAACAGATCAAGAATCAAACGACAGTTTCAAAAGGGACAGAAGATTTTTATTAAATGTAACTTTGATACTTTTTTAAACCACGTTAGAATATGTTATTAGTTATAGCACATAGTTACACTATTTTTGTCATACAATTGCATACCTTTGGAATATTTTTGTACGTATATAATTGCGTTTATTTTCGTCTATACGATAAAATAGTATCAAATTTTGTGAACGTATATGCATTATTATGAATACAGATAATTGTTTTTTAAATAAATATTACATTTAATAAGAGCAATGCATTACATCAATGTTCTTTCTTTTTCCTTACTCGATGTTAAAACGTGGCTGTCTGTATGTTTTGCTGTGCTGATTTGCTAACCTCAACAGTTCCTCAAAACACCATGAAAACCAATCAACAAATTGTGACTGATACAATTAATCAAAAGTTATTTTATAACACTGTATTGTCGCAAACATTCTCCCATGACGGAAATTATTTAGTGGCTGGAAATATTTATGGAGACGTATCAGTTTTCGAGTGAGTAAATATTTGATACGCTATTCAATGACATGTAAATGTAGGTTATGTCGACATGAATTAAAATAATTTTTCGCATGATAATAAATTGTTGCAAATTTGCCAAAGTTTTTGCACAGCGTATTAAAATAACAGGAAGCATCCAAATTAAGATGCAACGACCATATCGTAATGTTAAAACATTTTTTATAGGTTATCAAAAGCTTTAGGACCCCATAAAGTGGAAGAAAATGAATTACAAGGACCCACTTATCACTTCACCGCTCATTCTAATCAACAGGTACAGAGTATGGCTTCAACAGACAATTTCTTAGTAACAGGAATATCAGGAGAAATCTCTGGATGGGACTGGAAGATGATTACTTCAAGCAAAGCACCAAAGAGTAAAGTTTCATGGACTGTACAACTTCCAGTTGATAAGTAAGACTACATAATAAATGTGAATAACCGGTATTGACATTATACCTTTGGTAATATTGATAACAGTTGACTTTCAGAGACAGCTATGAAAGGGCAGATGTAAATTATATGATATACTACAAACCAAGCAGTTTACTGTATGCTGGTTGTGGTGACAACAATATTTATGTAATCAGTTTAGAAGATGGTAGAATACTTCGAAGTCTACAAGGACATACAGACTACATTCACTGTTTATCTTTAATGTATGTATCACTTAACTCCAAATGAATGATTTTACATATTTGAACATAAAACGTTTTACTATACATTTCAGGGGTAATCAGTTAGCCTCGTGTGGTGAAGATGGAACAGTGAGGTTGTGGGATTTACGAAAAAAGGAGAACACGAATATATTAACACCTCATTTAGTAGACAAAGTTGCTAGACAAAGATTAGGTAAATGGATTGGCGCGATAGACTTCACAGACGATTGGCTGGTACCTTCTTTATTTTTCCCACAGAATATATAATTTATTATAAAATAACGACCAAAGAATAACTGGAACATATCGATTATTTAAGTTATGCGGCGGCGGCCCAAGTTTATCTTTGTGGCATATGCGCACGATGGAAGCAGCCACCGTGTTCGATCTTCCGGATGAAGGTATCCACGTAGCAAAAATCTACGAGGAACGTGTGATAGCAGCTGGTGCAGCGCCTTACGTCTATCATTTAACTTATCAAGGAGAAACATTAGCTAAAGTGCCAACTTGCAGCAGCACAGTGTATAATATCAGTTACCAGGAAGTACCGCAAAAAGTGTTAAGTATAGCCGGTTCGTCGAACAATCTCGACATCTGTACGAACTTCAATTATCGCGAATTGATGTTAAAGTTTGCGTAATAAAGTCAAACGTAAAAAATCTAAATCACACCCTATCGAATGATCTGTGGAAGAAAACGATCTCATTAAGTATACGTATATTTTTTAAATAAATATATTAATACAATGTGCATTTTATAAAACATGATATAAAACTTTTTACAAATATACAAGTATCTGTTTGTCATGGTTCCACACGTAACACGAGCATTCACTGGGATTCTTCATTCATTCAGCGGATTCTTGAAGTGTATCGGAATACAACTAACGTCTGTCTAAAGCCAGTTCACTGATCAAGACTAGGTTCCAAAGAAACACGCAGAGTGAAGAAAACAAAAGATAGAACGACAAATTACACGACAGTGGGTTTATTCCTTGATGGTGGTGAGTGGCCAACTGATTCTACACAAATCATAGCAACGCAATAGTCAAAGGAATCCATGACCCGCGATCACCGCTGGAATGAAACCTTCTCTACCGTCTCGTGAACGAACCCAGAACCAGTCACTGACGTGATCACTGAGCAGAGCTACAACATCACCCTTGGACACGCTCAGAGCGTTCCCACCCTGGCCTTCGTAGTCATTACGTATGACGAGCAAAGTGTGACGGGATCCTTTGGTTCTAGCGTTTGCAGCGGCCCTAAGGTACAGTCTGTCGACGCTGCGTTCCCCACAGGCTGACACCGCGTCCCTAGAACCTCGCCTTACCCTTGGATTTCTGCCTCGAGCTCCGCACTCTGATCGGGTGTCCCTCAGCTTCTCCGTGTCGGTCATGTTACCTGGAAAGATCACGTAGGTTAACGGTGAATGAACTAAAAACCTGATACCATGAAAATACATCTTTGAAACTACCTAGAGGACGAGGAAATACGTCCGTAGAGTCTTCCCAGCACGGACCTCTGGTTGGCTGTGGTAATATCCCCAATGGTAAGCAAGCTGCGTATCCAACGTAGCCTTCTTGACCGTGTGGCGTTTGAACGTACAACCAGGTTTGATTCTTGAAGACAGCGTTCACGACTGTGCCAAGAGGGAGAGCCATCTCGTCTTGAGTACCACCTTGAGTCTGATACAGGACGGATGGGAAAGAAAGGACCACAGGAATATTCGCGGGTTTCTCTATCGAGGCCTGAAGTTGTTAAATCGTTTCGTTAGAAGTATTCTTCGTGTGTTTATGCCAAGTTGTGTTACATTGAACGACTGAAAGGTAAACCTTTGTGAGAAATGCGTCAAGATCCGCGATCTCGTAGCCGAATCTGCTCGGTGGCCTAGGCTTGTGCGAACGTTTCGTTCTTCGATGTCTGTGCTTCTCTCGACCGTTAGGCGTGGACGTTGACTCCCGGGAAACGAGAGACGGTTCGGACACTGCCCTCTTAACTTTCTCCTTCTCCTTCGCTTCCTTCAGACCTGAAAATTCCTTCTCGGACTGCTTGTCCAGGGGACTGTCCAGCGGTCTCTCGTTCGCCAACACCTCTTTGCCGATAGGCTGTGGAAGAGTAACGATAAACGTTTAAGTGTAAATCTTTTTTCCCCGTCGTTTTATAACGTTCGCGTTGAAAGATGATTATTAGGAGGGAGAACCTTTTCCTGAACTTCCACCTTCTCCGTTCTCTCGATCTTTTCTATTCTGTGCGGGACCTTCTTCTCTCGTTTCTCCCCGTCGACGTTCTCCTTGCCGCCATCTTTCTCCTTCACGCTTTTCACGCTCCTCCTCGAGGACCTTTCCTTGCTGTCACGCGACAAGCCCTCCCGATCGCCGTTCCCACCACCTTCCCAAAGATAACATTGTATCTTAAGTTTCTCGCGAAGTAGCGAAATTACGAGGTGATTTATGGCATTTGGCGTTTGAAGACTTTCATGAGTAACTGTTCTTGCGCAACGGCTGCATCACCTTTCCACTTTAGAAGCGGGTATTTCTTTCTTCAACTTCGGATTATTGCTTGACCTCTGCGCTACCTCGACTATTGCTCAATTTAGACTTCCTACACTTGAATCATTGCCCGACCCGACGCCGCCCGCACGCGAACCACTTTGCCTGACCCAAAAATCTCTATGCCTGACCATTTTTGCCTGACCACGCTCCACACAAAAAAAAGAGAATCGAACTATTTTGCCTGACCACACGAAAATTTGCCCGACCCAAATTTTGCCCGACCTCTCGACTCTAACCCCCTCGTATTACACAACTTCATCCTGACATCTCCACGAACCTGCGTTTCCATTGGCGGCCGAATGATTGTTGTTGGAGGCAGACTGCTGTTGCCCTCGTAGGACCCAGGTCAAAGAGATCTTGGGGCGCAACAAGGTGCTTGGCCGTTGACCCATGCTCCTCGGCGGTGCGAGGGGCGTCGAGGGCGTCGGCGATCTCGGCGGTGACGGCGACCTAGACGACGGTGTCACCACCTGCAAAGGACAGTCCGCCACCAGGTCCACCGTCTGCACCGAACAGCCATGTTCCTGTAATCCAAAGAAAACAAAAATTCGATCTCTTCGGAAAATCTTCTGCTGCGTGTCAAATCCTATTTTCTACACCCCCCTTTGGAAGAACACGCGAAACGAGGCACGTCAAAACCATCGGAGAGGGATAAGCGTCGCGAAACGAGCGCGACGTGTGCCTCTTAACGTGCGTGCAAATAGACAAGCTCTGGTTGGGTACACGGGAAATGACCACTATTCAGAGGACTAGTTTGCGACTAACAGAAGTGCACTTCCCTTTTACAACGAGATAAATAGAACGACTAGACACGACGGGGAAAGAGAGATAGCAGTCTTGCGAATAATCAAAGGAGACCCCTTTCGGAATGAGGTGCGAGTGCCGGAGATGATTCAGAAATTGAAATAGAGGGCTCGTTAGTAAGAGTGTCGGTGCAATTTCGACGGGTGGAAAAGCCGACTGAATCGTTCGCCTGATTACAGCAATTTCGAGCATCTCGCACCGCCGTCCAATGCGATCTTTTATCCCCACGGATAAAAGTTCACGGATGCTGTATGAATGCGGTGCTTATTAGGGGAGATTTGCATAAGCGACTCTAAGTACCGATCGATTCTGTCTTCAACCACCGGGGGACCCCAGTTCCACGTGGTACCAATACACACACGTCTCTATTCTATTCAGTACAATTTCCTGGCTCATCGTGAAACTTGTACGATACATAAAATGTATCGATAAATTCATCTTAACCCTTTCGCTCTGACGCGTTTACGAGAAAATCTATGCGTTTCCTATTCTACAAATTTTCCTGTCAAGTTTATTACGGCAATCAGAACTGTGTTTTTATTTTCTTACATGTAAAATGCAGAAATAAAAATGTATACATATAGACACTCTGCCTTTTCACTTACATCTACACTTTTTTCTTTTTTTTTTACTGCTAACATAAAATTCACCGTGTACAGCAGAGATTTCTACGATCTCCGAAGCACCCTAAGATCACACATTTTCTCATTCAGGTTTGCCCATAAAATCCGTCCACGGTGTGCGGCCGCCCGCATCTTTCACGAATTTATTAAACGACAAAACGCGAGATCGCGGTAAATCTCCGCGCGTGTTGCACCTCCCTACAAAGTGGATTATTAATTCGTCTCATAGGCGTTCAATTAGCCCGCGGGCCGCGGACCGCGGAAATGAATTATTCGTCGACGCGGCGACCGTGTCCCCGGTGTGCTTTACCGCGCCGCGGAAATTTACGGCTGTCGCCTCGCATAAATAGCAGGCCTCTGGCCACCGTGAAATTTACGAACGACCGTTCACCGCCGCCTCGTAAAATTTCTACCACCCTGACCCCTTCTACTTTCCCACCACACTCTCTCTCTCGAGCGCGCCGCGCAGCCCTTTTTTAGCCTCGCGGGGACAGATCTTGCACCGGAAACGGAGGTCGCGTGCCGCGGAAAAGTTGCCTAACGTGGTTGGGTTGATTGAAATGAAACGATAAAGGATTGTGGGGAAATTTTCTTGCGAAGATGAAATTTTATGCGTGATTTTGATTCACATGTTTTTTATATTCTTAGAGTAGGAGTTTCGCCCCTATGACGCGGGAAATGTAATGCAAATTAAGTTTCACTGACGTCGCTTTTTGGATTAAATTTGAATAACCGAAAAGTTTAGAATTTCCTAAAAATTTAGGGGTCTTACTGTATTTTATCGTTGACAGAGTACTTTTGGGGCAATATAAGATTTATCCTTGTAATATGGACAGAGTGTCTAATCTTAATTCTGAATTTTTTGAGAATTCTAAAGTTTGTGACAGAGAAAATATGAAAACACAGTGAAACCTTGAACAAGAGTAGGGACAATTTCGTCAGAGATTCATCTAACACTATAAGAATGTCGAATTTTAATTTTCAGTCTCTAAAACGAATTTCCGAAGT